TCCAGTTTAAATCAACAAACATCACAAGAAATCCAAACCACGAGTATTACCCAACATATATCTCCTATATCTCAAACTCCACCTTCAGACCTATTACATCCACCCATAAGTTGTAAATCCGAAAATTGTCGATCGGATGCGTCACAACATAACTTGAAGAGAGGGAAAAATATTTGGAAGAAATGTGAACATAACTTGTATTATTATGGTATATTTTCTAGTACTACCTATTACAAGTATTTATAGAAGAAAATGGTTATACCAGAGGCAACACAAACTAAAGAAACTAAAATAAAGTATGAATAAACAACAATTATTGTTGGATATTAGTCCTAGATATATCATGTGCACTTTATTATTATTATTATTATTATTATTTTAAAGAAATGTGAATAGAACTTGTATTATTATGGCATATTTTCTAGTACAACCTATTACAAGTATTTATAGAAGAAAATGGCTATACTAGAGGCAATACAGACAAAAGAAACTAAAAGAAAGTTGATGAGGACATCATTCAGAGATTCAGACACGTGTGCCGGCGACAGAATCGTAGATCAACGGCTACGATTCAACGTCTTTACTTTTGATGCATTTCTTTATGTTTTATTTAGTTTTGTTGTTTTCCGAGTTTACCCCTATGGGGAGTGTTTTATTATTGTAGCCCATAGGGCAATTGCGTACTTTTTTTTCTTCATGTTTGAGGCCTATATATAGTGGTCTTATGTTTTGTAAAAAAGATGATTTAATGAATGAAATTCTAGCTTGTTTTCTTATTGATCTCTTTTTGAGTTCATGAGAGTGGTGAAGCCTAGGAGAGGCCAACGGAATACCCAACAGACCACCAACGGGTGAGCTCTTGGTTCTTTTATCTTAATTTCTTCTTCCTCCTCCCTTCTTCCCCTATACCCGCTGGCAAGCCCTCCCTATTTCCCCAAACCGACGACACCATTCCCCATTTTTTTTCATTACCCGCCACCCTCTCCCCCTATCAAGCCGCCAAACACTTCACCAATCCGGCGGCCGGCCTCCACCCCACCACTCCTCTCCTCCACAAGCTTAACTCGCCGACCACCTTGCCTCCAAAAATCTGAAATTCAAAAGTTCCATTGCCTTTAATCACTTTCCTAAATTAATTCCTAGTAAATTAGGAAAGTTTTCAATTGAGAATTCAATTAAATAATTGAATTCAAATACTTTCCTTTTGCTAGAAACCCATTTAGGAAACCTCCTTATTTAAATCAAATCTGAAATTAAATTCAGATTTGATTTTAATCTTTATTTATTCCTTGAGGGGCCCACAAACTTAAAATAATACCCCAATCCCCTTCCCTATATGGCTAGGGCTGCAAACGAACCGAGCGTTCGACGAGCTGCTCGTGGCTCGGCTCGATAAGGGCTCGTTCATGTTTGTTTGATAAGGTAAACAAACGATTTTGAACACTCTTGATAAATACTCGATAGCTAAATGAAAAAGCTTGAACACCGTGTCGTTCAGTTCATTTATGTTCACAAACAGTCTCGCTTAGAAGCTCGTGAACAAGCTCTCTTAGAAGTTCGATTAGAGCTCGACTAAGAAGCTCAATTAGAGTTTTAAAAATAAATACTATTAAATCTATTAATTTGATAATTTATTTTTACTAATTTAATATTTTTAATTTTAACCATTTTCATTAGATATATTTTTAACTTTTATTTTTACAGTGTTTTATTAAATCATCTACTAAAAATTTATAAAACTTTTGCCGGTCCTGCCTCAATTTAAAAAAAATCTCTCTCTCTCTCTCTCTCTCTCTATATATTATATATATATATAGTATATATATTATATATATCTATATATATATATCTACATATATATTTATTATTATATTGTGGTTGTGTGGTGTGTTGTGTGTGTGTGGTGTTTGTGTGTAAAATAACCTTCCGCTCATTGCCACCACACCCCCGCGCCACTCCTCTCTCCTATATTTGGGCATTATTTTAACTCCCGCCTGTCTTTCTCTCATCCCCGTGATGTCAAAATTCTCTTTTCTTAAAAAAACAACCATTGTAGGCTCTTTAGTTCTACACCGCCTGGAGTAAAATAGTATGTTATATAAAAAAATTCATCTTGTGCCTTGAATGAAAAGCGGGAGAGGGGGCGGGTTGTTATGCGCGGAATGCTTAACGAGCTCTCGCTCGCTTTGCTTATCGAGTCGCTGTATCGAGCTTGAATTAATGAGCCGAACTGAAACGAATGAGCTCGCGACAAAAAATGAAAAAAATTTTTTTTTTTTTTTTAACCGAAAGCCCTTTTTTTTCCGAGCCCCCCCCCTTTTTCCGAATTAAGGTGTTCGAGAAAGCTTGACGAGCTTTGAGCCAAACTCTGAACTCGTTTTTGACAAACTAGCGCTGATACTCTGAACATCGCCAAAGCTCGGCTCGACTCGGTTTTCGTTGTGCCTATATATGGTCGGCCCTTTCCAGCCTTTTTTTCTCTCCATTTTAAGTGCCATCACCATTATTCCCCTCTATACCCGCCCCCCCCCCCTAAATCGCCGGCCTCCCTATGCCTCTTTGGGATTATTTTTTTGAAATTCAAAGTCCTTCCCCTCTTAGAAAATTGAATTAATTTCATATTTACTGAACGCACTAATCTCCACGTCACTAAACCCAACCCAGCCCCCCCCCCCCACTCCCTCTCTCTCTCTCCTTGGCCGCCTCCCTCACTTGCCTCCTTTCCCTTGGAAACCGACGCCTCTCAAGTCTTTAGAAGCCAAAAGAAGAAGACAAACTCTTTCCTCCTTACCATGGTGTATGACCAACCCTGAGGTCGACCACGGTTTTGCCTACAACACACAAGGAGAAATCAATATCCTACTTTCTCCTTTCTACAATCCGGATTGGGAATACGAAGATTCTGTGGAGAGCTACGTCAACCGCATCCTCTATTGCCTCGCCGAGACGATTGAATATCAACGACCCAAAGAACCTTGGCTTCTCGTCGGCCGATCAATGACCTCTTCTCCCTCGGCTACTTCTCCAGCGAACAAGGCCCTACGCGCCACTTGTCTTGTGGTGCATCATTGGGATTGCTTCTACCGTTCCTCTGCTAAACCCAACTTCAAGAGCAAGTGAGAAGGAACTCGTGGTGAATACTTCTTGATGTTACGCCGTGGATTCTTGTTTTATTGCTATTAGTCTTACTATTTTATTTTCGTTGTTATTTGCAATTGTTGTGCTAATCTCTTTGTAACCGCTTGCCATTACTTAATCTTTTAACGAAGATTCTAAGAATTTAACTTGGAGTGAAACATAAGTTTTTAACTAGCAAAGCTCATGTTCAATATATATTGTTAAATTCCAAAGCAACTCTTGTCGCATGTATGTTTCACATCAAAGTACAAAGAAACAACTAAAAATCTAGACCAATATCCAACAAATTGTGAACAAGATTTTACCGGAAAAAATAATCAAGAAACTCTTATTATTGCTTGTGTGTGAATCGAGCAACCCAAGCATATACGTAGAACTGTGCCTGGCCTAGCCCGACTGCAGCCTCCTACCCGGCCTCGCCTGTCACCACTGAAATTGGTGAACCCAGCCCAGTTGCGTGTCCACGCGCTACTCCAGCGCTACGCGCGCCTACCACCGCCTTCCACTCGCGGCCTACTTCCATGTGCTTCTCCCATGCGCGAGTGCCCGCTATCATGCGAGCCCCTTTAGCCTACGCACACCTCCGAACAAGTTCCTTCGCACATGTCTTTGCCCGCAAAGAACGTCCGCCTGCAGTAGCCTTGCTTCTTCAAGGCTCTCATGAATTGCCTTCGACACCTCCGAACCATCCTGATTCCACCAATCAGATCCTTGATCAAAGAACTTTGCGTCTTGTTCATGCGTACCCAGGTTGAGCAATGCTCCTCCTCATGCGAATAAAATCAGGCTTGCTCTGATCTCAACCTACAATAGCCGCACCCCACACGCTGCCGAGCTTCCCTCCTTTTCTTGAATGCAAGAACTTCCTCCACCTCCCAGCTCTAACACCAGGTTGTAGGAACTTTCGGAGAGGAAGAGAAGCTTTTCTTCAACTTCTTGAAGAGAGTGAGAAATAGATGGAAGAAATGTGAATAGAACTTGTATTATTATGGCATATTATCTTGTACAACCTATTACAAGTATTTATAGAAAAAAATGGCTATACCATAGGCAACACAGACTAAAGAAGCTAAAAGAAAGTACAAAGAAACAACTAAAAATCTGGACCAATGTCCAACAGTCTTTCCCTTGTGCTACTTCATTTGTTTTTGTTGTTTCTATATATGATTTTGATTTTTTTTTTATGATATAGATATTTCTTTTGTGAATATATTTTGCCAAAGATATGGTTTAATAACTCAAAATGGGTTAAACTTTAGCCAAGTAAAAACAAATGTTCAACTTTAACTTGATAGTTTTGTTCTTTTATGACTTACACACAGACAAATAAAAGCCATCCGTCAACATATCAAATTGATAAAAGCCAAATAGTATATACTCCATACTTATGACATCAACAACTCAGGAAAGCCTTATTTCCAATGTGAAAGACAAGATCATCTAAACCCAGTTTGAAGATTGGCTTTGATGGTCGATTTCCTTTTAGATTTTCCTTTTTCTTCTTTTTTGAACTGCCTTTGAATTGCTAGCTTATCTTTTTGAATTCTCCCATTTAGATGCAACTTAATTTAAGAGAGAAAGAGAATATAGTGGTCTTGGTTAGCTCCTATAAACAACAAGCAGATTTCTGTTCTTCCTCATTACATGTCTAGGTTAGCAGAAGTTAGCTTCCTTGCACATCCTACATGAAAATTATCAAGAAAAGATTCAAACTTTAACCAGCTTTGAAGTTTCTATTCTACTTCTCCTGAGCATTGTTGTCATATTTGCTTTTTAGCTTTATTCCTTGTACTCACTTTTTCCTATTGTTTCAACATTCTCTTGCCCTTTTGTATTAACTTATTTTGGTGTTAACAACACAGGATTTCTCTACTCGATGTTGGTTATGGCCCTCTTCGTTGGTTCTAGCCACTTGTATATGGATCGTGCTTCTCGTTCAGTAAAGTTTCATTTGAGATGACTTTCTTACTGCTTCTTAAAACAACTTTTTAGTTCGAAAGCTTCTTTAAGAAGCAGTAAGAAAGCCGTACCAAACAAAGCCTAAAACTAAAGTCCTACGTTTCTGTAATATTTTTCTCTGCTACAGATGCAGCAAAAAATCACTAGGAGCAAGAACGGTGATTCTGTGCGTCCAGTGTTCTTGTTGGCGCAATTGTTTACATTATTTATGACTTTGTAGTTGTATTTACTTAAGTATATTGATTGTCTTATTAGTTAGCACCTTAATAATTTCTAAATTTGATGTTATCCTTTTGTTGTTGCTGTGTCAGTGTCCTTATTAGTTATAAGAATTCTATCAATAAAACTGCAGGAACACATATTAGTATATTTTCAAGTGTAGAATAGATGGATTTGAAAGTAATTGTATTTATTTTTAGGTTAGTATAATATATTTTTTTATGTATGATACTAATTTTAAAGTAAATATAATAATTTTCAAGCTCGTGTTAATATAATTTATATCAAGAGATTTTGCTACAGAGTCTTGCATTTGCGTAGTGCATTGCATTAAATTGTGCTACGATCATTGTAAATTATGATATACGGCTTGAAAGTTTGCAGTCAAAGCAAAGCACAACAAGTCTCAAGGCCATCAATCTGTGACGGACTGCGTTCAAAAGGCATGAAAAATCGATGAGTATAAGTGGATAAGATATCTCGAAAGTTATCATGGGTGAGTGTCGGTGGGTGATGAGTGCCCACGTAGTCAGCGTCCACACAGAGCATGGGTACCGAAATGTAGAGCTTTGTTTTGCTACTATTTTTTTTTTTTTCTAAATTTTAATAGGGTATTTATATGCAAAGGGAATTTATGAACATTTGTATCTACTGCATGTTATGGGATCATTCATTGATTAATTAATATAAAATATTAAAATGCGTGCAGATAAGAGCTTCAATTATTATTAAAAATATCGAAGGGCTCTAGCTCAAATAGAATGTTGCCTTGATAGAGATCATAGGTTGGAGTTCAATTTATGATATTTTTAAAATTAAATGTTTATTAATCTATTTTAGAATTTATCCTTTTACTCTCTTAATTTCTAACTAATCTTATATTTTATTTTCAATCAATACTAATAATAATATTAGCTTGCTGAGCAGGTTAAGAATCACCTGCTATTGTCAGCCACCAATGTCTCTTATGAAATATTTGATAAAAATAAAAAATAATAATTATTGATTATGAAATATATATTTTCTTATTGATATGTAATTAAAATATAAAAAAAATTGGATCGATTGGAACCATTTTTTTATTATTTACTAAAGTAGTTTTTTAATATAAATTTTTTTCATTTAAAAATTTTTGAAAAAAAATACTTTAAATATATATATATATATATATGATCCCTAAAAAAGCCTTAAGTTTCATTTGGAATAATTTTCTTAATACTTTTCACAACACGTTAATAAATTAATATAGAAGCACATTCTGATTAATTACGTTATTTCACCCCCTTGATCGGTACTGCAGCTCGATACCGTGGGTTGGTGCTACGTCAGCACATTCTGATTAATCTCCGGACAACATTCTGCATCCGATCTCCACACAGAATAATTTCTCCTAAACTACTGAGCTAATTCTCTTCCAAACTATAGAAGTATAGGCGCCAAGAAATAAAAAACAAATATATATATATCTTTGCACATTATTTAATCAGATAACAATCATCAAATTTCTACAAAAATATGAGAAAAGCCAGTGGCCACAAGAAATTATAAGATTCAAAGGTCCTAAGCTTCTCATAGCTAACATTGAAATAGATTTGTTGACAAAGTTCAAATGCTAGCAGCCAACATTAAGACAAAGCAGCTATTTACACTTCAGCATAACACAACTGCTCCTGCTCAAACTAACCATAATAAAACAAGAAAAGAGAGTTCGCAAAGACAATATAGACAAAATACTTGTTCTAAGTAGGCAATGAAACATGTTGTTTTAACAATGAGGGCATTCTTATCACTTCCAGTTGAAGCACTCATCAGATAATGTACCAGTTAAAGCACCAGAAGCATAAACCTTCTGGTTTTTAGTATAGGAATTCATGTAAAATGCACAATCAACCTGCGAGCTCCACTTACTTGAACAGGACTCATAGTGCTCATCAGTGGTCTCCACTGAGAAGAAATCAAAGCCCTTATCTCTTGCAGATGAAAGTGAGCTTTCAAGGTTCATGGTCCCAGCTCCATTGGGAAGCGGGCCACAGGATTTGCCTCCATCACAAGAACTACTTGATCCTACATCTTCAACCTCATGTGTCCAGGAACTTTCAACTTCTGAGCTTGGGGGAGAAGGAAGGCCAAGGCGCAATGAAAGGTCGCAATCCGCTAGCTTTCTCATCCTCTTGCAATCAGGGACTTCATCTAAACCATCCGACATGGTGCCGACCATGAATTCAATGGCATTAGATTGAACAGAGGGCTTTGTTGCACTGAAGATGTTCTTGACCATTTGTTCCTGAGGTTGGGAGGTGGAAGTAGAATGTCCTTCACCATAATACAGTGGGTATACACAACCCAATTCAGGCCAAATGCCAGACTCCATTGGCATAGGCAAGCCTCTAACTTTGCATGCCATGGCTTTATTTGGAATCTCAAAGTATTGATTTTGCCCATTTGAAGCACTAGATGGCATAAACTGAATCTGAGGTCCTGCAGCTGAGTACTTTGATCCAAATTGAGTTGTTGAGCCATGGAGATTGCCGGATTGCATTGGAAGCAGTGGTGGCAACATGCTTTTAGGACAAATCTGACTGGCCTTCTTGTTATCTTGAGGCTTTGGAGGGACATCAGCTGCTTCCTTTGAGTTGGGGCTCAGATAACAAACTGGATTGCTGTGGCGTTGGCTCCTCGATGCTCTTCGAGGAATGCAGCCCAGATTGAGTGCCGCTGGAACCAGGCAAGCAAGTGGCAAGAGTTGGCATCGACAAAGTGAATCGTCTTATACACTCAAAATTTTCAAGTTTTCTTGTTATATATGACTGGTTAAAAAAAAATAGAAAGAAATAAAAAAATTTACCTTCAAAAAAATAGAAAACAAAATCATTATGTTTGAAGGGGATTTGGAGCCTCTCCATTACCATGGTAATTGAAGAGGTAAAGTTACTAAACAAGTTTTAAAGGTTAATTGGACAGCTGGGATTTTGTAAATTACTTCTCCAATAACATGTAATTGTAGAGGAACATGATACATTTGAAGGAGTTTTGAGGTGACATATAGAGCTTAATATCAATCATGACTTCTAACAAATTTCACTTCTTGTAATTATGTAACTACTAAAACAGAAACAAAAGAAAATTAAAAAAAAAAAACCCTTTAAATAACTAAGATGCAAAATTGAACTCCCAAAGACCATATTTCCTCAAGTCTCATTTGATTTCTTGTAGATAGGAAGCCTTTTTTACAAAAAATATGCCATCATTTCCACTTTTTTGCTGATTGTGTGGGAAAAAATAATCATTATTTATGAAGGGGATTTAGACCCTACCTAAGTACCATGGTAATTGACTAGATAAAGTTACAAATCAAATTTTAAAGAATACAAAGTTTATTGAATGGCTAAAATTTTTTAAATTACTACTCCAATTACCATGCAATCGGAGAGGATCCTAATCTATTTTGAGGGGTTTTCAGGGGCCACACAGCTCAAAATCAATGTTGATTTCCAACTATAGCCAACCAATGATGGATCTGACTAATTTCATTTTTTTTTTCAAAATATATTTTCTAACTTTAAGCAACCAAACGGTCCTTGAAATAAATCATAAAAAATACATAAAGTACTCCTAGGTTGGATAAAAACAAAAATAGTACTCCTACATTAACCAAAACCAAAAAATGGCTGAAAAAAACACTTCTGATAAGGCCATTTGATTGTCTGTAATCAGCTTTCTTAAATAAAGTGTTCATTGGTTGTGTTTGTTTCCTCAGAAAGCGAATAAACATAAAGAGAATGAAGTTTTATTCCAGTTCCAATTGACTTCATAGTAAACACAATCAATTCTTTAGTTGTATTTGCTTTTGCAGGAAGTGATGAACCAAATGAGAATGCAACTACTCTATTTCCAAGCAACTTCAAAGGAAATACAATCGAACTCTAGTTTTTGTAAAAAGTGAATGAATTAATCCAATTATAAGAATGCATTTACTCTAAATACTGGTTTTATTGAGCTTCTTCTTTTAATAAAGGATTCTAATTCAAAAGTTCATGACAAGGCTTATTTGATTGATTGCAGATAGAAAATGTTACTTCAAGAAAACATGTTTTAGAATATGATTTTATCATCATGTCAAAAATAAAACCATCACTTTTAGAAATTTCGAAGGGACTTTTGGAATTTAGAACTAAGAAAGATTTCTAATTGCACCTAGGATACTTGATTTCCAACTACATCTAAACAAATAATGAAATCCTACAAATTTACCATCTCTCAAAACATGCTCTCTAACTTGAAGCAATAAAATAAGCCATAAAAGCAGCTTTCAAAACAAAATTCTAGAAAAGTATCTCAGTTTTTGGTTTCATTTGGGACGGCTTTGTTATTGTTTCTTAAAGCAACTTTTTAGTACAAAAATTAAAACTTTTATACTAGAAAACTGCATTAAGAAGCAATAAAAAAGCTGTCCAAAGGAAGCCTTTATCATCTAAACAAGTTGCACCAACTTTGTAAGCTTTAAAGTAAACAAAACCTCCAACCAAAAGAGCTTTTTTAGTGTTTTTTGAACGAATTTAAACTCACACGCATCCTCAAACGTTAAGCGAACCCATGACCTTGTGGTGGAAGCCAACACTCCCAAAGACTTAGCTAAATGCGTATCAAAAGAGCCTTAAAAGGATCTATGAACTTTTATGTAACTTTTTTTTTAAAGCTAAAAAAGCGTTCTAGACCACTTCCCTTAATCCATGGAGTGAGTGGATTCCCCATTTCCATAAGAAGAAGAATAAATAATACCTTCAATGCAGGGCTGAAGGAGGTCACCGCTCTCATTGGCATCATCCTTACGAATTATGGTGTCAATGGCATCATTAGCTCTGTCCCACAGAGTCTTCAAATCCATGTACTCCGCCTGCAAAAGAAACACCAGCTCCCACAAACTATTTAACTAAATGTGAAGAAGTAATAAAAGGAAAAAAAAAAAAAACAGGAAAAAAAAAAAAAAAAAACAGGTCTATCATCAGTTCCACCAGTCATTTCATAGAACAGAAACAAACCTCCGAGTTAGCTTTGGAATACATGATCTCCTCGGCCTTCAAGACTACAAAGGGAAGCTTCTCCTGCCATTCCTTGTTCTTCCTGGTTGCGTTGCAGTGCACCTCGTTCGCCAACCTAAAAAATCCCAAAATCCATTTCGTCAAAACTGCCCAGGAACGAAAACCCCTGAATCAAACTCTCGTCTTGATAAGCTAAATCCAACAAAAATGGAAACTTTGCGGTGGAATTTAGCACGGAAGATATCTCAGAGGAATAAAACCTGAAGATTTCTTGGATGAGTGACCCTCTCATGGGCTGGTGTCGGTCGCTGTGCCATGCTCTTCTCACACACTCGTAAGGCCTCGGCCCTGGCCTGGGCATCCTTCTCCCCTTCTCCTTCGCTTGCTTTGCTCGGCAAGGAGGAGAAAAACTGAGAAAGAGAGAGAAGGAAAGAGGGGTGGCGGGGGTGGGTTCGGTGTCAGATTTTGGTGCAGAGAGTTTTGGGGGTATGGCCAAACTGCTTTATCTCCATGGCAGAGGGCTGTCGAGAAAATGAGCCTAAATGAGATGGGACCTCGCCCGTGTTGGGGCTCCTCTCCGCACGGCTCCTCTCCACCAAGAGCAGACTAATGGACGCGGCTCATCAATATGAAAGCGATTGGGAATTAATGTGTAACCTAAAAATTTTAATTGAACTGAAACAAATCCTAATTAAATTGAACTGAAACAAATCCTAATTATTAATATGTCATTATATTCTTCTAACTTTTGGTAATATATCACTCGGATGCAAGTGAGCCGCTGGAGTCCAGCTCGAGTTTGTTTAGTAAATAAGCTTGAGTTCGAATTTATAAATATTAATATTTTTAAAATAATTTTATTTTATTTATTAAATTTAAATATTTTAAAAAATTAATAAGAACCAACTAAGTTTTTTTTTTAAAGTTAAACATTTCATCTATTTTTTTCTAAATTTCACCTGAGTTTTAAAAATCTCATTTAAGTTTTAAAAATCTAGCCTAAATTTTAAAAATTCCGCTCATGGCTTGCAAGCCGGCTAGAGCTCGTTTATAGTGTGATGAGCCTGAGTTTGAGCTCCCCTATCAAGCTCGAGTTCGAGCTCGTTTTCCAACTAACGAGCCAAGCTCGATAAGGGCCTAAACTCGACTCGACTCGACTCGTTTGCACCCCTATCTCAATTTAATTGTCTAAAGCTCAACTAGGCAAGCAGTTGCATGGGATTAGTATAATGCAAAAATATTCATGGTATGCGAAAAAGGTTGTTTCATATCAAAACATTGAAAGTAATTGAGGTTCAAAAGTATCATGAAGGACAAACTTATACCTTCATTGGCTTTGCATTATCTAATTCCTCCTCAGAGCTATACTCAAACACACAATAATCAACTCCATTCCTCCTCCTCAGGGAGCGTTTAACTCTAAGGAGACTGTTACCACCATCACTATCAATTTGCATTGGTGGAGTCACAGTATCTTCCATACAATGACCAGAGTTGACCGCAGCATCCTCCGGATCCTGCCTGAAGTCACAAACCATATTATGCAAAACAACTTCTAGACTTCCTATACTTGAGCTGTTTGCTGTACAGTTTGGAGCATGTCTGCAGAAGAAATAAAAATTACCCTTGGTGGTCCGACGGTGGTGCGGCAGAACCCCGGCGTCCCTTGGTGGTCCGGCGATGGTCGAGGAGGAGCTAGGCGGCTTTAGCTGTCTTCCTTCTTCTCTCTTACCTTCCTCCTTTTTCATGAGGAAATGGGGTTCTATTTATAGAAATCTTGAGTGGCATGGCTTGAAAATAAGTGGAAGATCAAGGGTAAATTTGGAGTGGTTCGAATGGACGGCCGATCTTGATTCCTACGATCATGCATCGTTCAATGAATATTTGACTGTCTTAATGATATCAGAATTTGATGATCTTAGGTTCGTTGGATTCGTCTCGTCGAGCCGCTCGATTCGATTATAAGCATGTGATGATTGGAGATCGTTTGGTAACCCAAAGTGTGGTTCGATCCTTCCAAAAATGCTTCGAGTCTTTTATTTGGACTCATTTGGGCTCAGATTGGGTCGATTTTGGTGTCGTTGGGTTTGTGTTTCCGAGACGCTCAGTTTGACTATAAGTTTGCTGAAATTGGAATTCATATGATCTCCGATCTAATTTTTGAAGTTTCCAACTTGATTTTGCCTTGAGATTCGTGCTCGATAAATGTAATTTTTTGATGATGTATCAATAGTAAATAGTTATAAACAAATTACATAAGAAGATCTTGATCATTGTTTAATTTACTGCACATGTGATTAATTTTATCCAGCATGTTATTTCTCAGTATAAATAAATAATCAAATTATATTTATTTTTAAAATTTAATTGTATTATTAAATAATTTAGTTATACTGACAGATAACATGTGATGTATAAGAGGTCTGAGGGACTGTAGTCGGTTGGCAACGGTTGTCGTAGGGATCGTAGTCGGCGGATGACAGTGATCGAGGAACCATAATCGATGGGTGACGGAGACGGAGGTCGAAGGGGCTGTAGTCGAAGGGACCGAGTCAGCAGACAACGATAGTCGATGTGGTGTGTCGATGGCAGCCCGGCCGAGGTCTGGCAATGGTTGGCAGCAAGAGGAGGTTTGGCGGTGGTCGGTGGCCGAATAAAAGTCTGGAGGTAGTCAATGGTCGGGCTGTGGTCTGACAATGGTTGAGCGAAAGATCGGTGGTGGTCGGCAGCCGGGTGGGAGTTTAAGGGTGGTCGGAGGCTGGACAATGGTCCCTGGGATGGTCAGTGGTCGAGCGTTGGTCCAACGACGGTCGACGAAGATTCATCATTGGTGGTGCCTGGGTGGAGCTCTAGATCCTTGAAGCCTCAAAGCTCTCTCCAATCTCCAACAAAATGTCCAAGCCCAGCCCCCTTTTATGTAGGATGTGAGGGTCTATTTATAAATTTTTTTAAAGTAGCATGCCTCGTAAATATGGAGAAGATCTGGGGCAAATTCGGAGTGCTCCATCGGACGGCCCAAATTGATACCCTCAATCATAGAGTGTTCATCAAGCCTTTAAGTGACATAATGATGCCATAATTTAGCGATCTTGGGCTTGTTGGATTTGTCCCGTCGAGCAGCTCGATTCAACTATAAGCATGCTACATTTAGAGGCCATTTAGTCATCTAATTAATGATTTGAACTTCTAATTATGCTTTGGTCCCTTGATTTGGACCCATTTGGGCTCGGATTGGACCTATTTTGGTGTCATTGGGTTCGTCTCCTTGAGATATTCAATTTGAATATACGTTTGCTAAAATTGGATTTCAAATGGTCCCGCATTTTAATTTTGGAAGTTTTCAGTTTGAATATATCCCGAGGTTCATGCTCGCTCAAGGTAATTTTTGGTGACATATCAATACCCCTAGTAATGGCAGGCTAATAATGCTAAGCAAACTAATATTTTATATATTATATATTTTAAAAAAAATTGTTTTAAAAACTAATAAAAAAATGTCCCAAATGAAGCGGAGCCTAAAGATGGAGGAAAAATCACCTCTAACAAAATTATTAGAAATCTGTGATCTTTAAAAGAATATTATAAGAGAGTAATGTACCTCCTTGAAAGTTAAATGATATTATAATTAATAATCATGTGTTAAGAAAATATTTCATCTTTATATTAATTTTTGTAAGTTTCATAATTATATCATTAAATTTATTACTTACATGATGTAATAGGTAATTATACTAATTTAAAATAAACTTATATTTTATAAATTATTTAGTAGGTTCAAAAAAAAAATTTTACTTGATCTTTTAGAGCTAAGATAATTATATAATAATTAGGAGTTGATGAAGTAATTATATTATATTTGAATGAAGTTGGACTTAATTCCTATTTCATTGTACTCATTGAATTATTTAGATACGATTTCATTTAATATCTTTGTTATAATTTTTTCATAATCATTTTCTATTTTCTTCTTTATCTTTTGTTGTAACAACTAGTTGAGTTGGGATTTTCTTCAAGAGCTCTTCAAAATTAGTTTTAAAAGGCATTTTGGAGGTTACTTTGGAAATATTTTGAAAATGTTCGGCTTGTTTTTTTGGGATTTCAACTTTATAAATATCAAATAAAATTAAATAGAAAAATCTATTAGATGACTATAAGAAAAAATATTTCATTTTATTGTCTTTATGAACATTAAGCAATAGAATTGAAGCTTCGTTTGAGACGGCTTTCTTACTGTTTTTTAAAATGACTTTCTAATACAAATATTTATAATTAAAGAAATTTTGTACTAAAAAATTATTTTTAAAAACAGTAAAAAAGTAGTCCCAAATGAAGCCTAAGAAAGGCCTTCAATCGCTCATCAAATATCACCCAATCTTTAGGAATCCCTTCTTTGTAACATTATTACTTTCAATACAACAAAAATGATAACAACTAGTCTTTATCCCACTATGTCGGGTGGCTACATTAATCACTTTTCTTCATTGTATGATGTTAAGAGTCAAATTCTCATTTAAATCTAATAAATAAGAAATGTCATTTCTAATAATTTCTAACTAAGTCGTTTTAGGTCTACCTCTATCTTTTTCTTAACATAAGTCAAATCTAACGCATCTACTTTCCTAACCAGGTCATCGGAAGGCTGGCGTTTTATGTGACAAAACCATCTAAGGCGACTCTCTCTAATCTTATCTTCCACTGGAGTTACTCCAACCTTTTCAAGTATATGCTCATTTCGTATCATGTCTCTAAGAGCAAAGTCACTCATCTACATGAGCATCCTCATCTCTGCAACACTTAACTAATTATAATGCTTCTCTTTTAATGGACAACATTCTGCACCATAAAGTATTACAAGTCTCACTACCAACTTATAGAATTTTCCCTAAACTTAAGTGTTGCCTAGATTTTATGTAAGTTTGTATTTTCATGATATTTTTTTCTATTATTTGTGCAAAAATATAGAATAAAATTTTAATACCAACATTAATAGTTTGAAATTTGAATACTGTTAATATTTGCATTAACCATTTGTGTTCACCATTTCTTGTATTTATTTATTCGCAGTTGTGTAATTATTATGTTTGTGGTATTACTTGCTTAAAGCTTGTGTAGAAGAATTCAGTCTTTTATATTCTGCTTAATATATAGCTCACATAGCTCTCTCAGCTTATTTTATAACCTATAACACAAGAACTTAGATTCAAACAATTTAAATGATTGAAATTATTGAGGAGAGTCAATCATTTTGGCTATAAATTTACATTGCTTGTAGTATATTTGAGCACCAAAATAAATTTTGAAACAAATTTTATAATTTATTATATTAACTATAAACTGGAGAATTGATGAACAAAACATGAAGAAGAAAGAAGCGAAGAAGAACCAGTGTGTCATTGGTTTTATACATAGTAGCATACAGAGGAAATCATTGCAGTGTCAAAGCCACTATTAGTAAATGGCAAAGATGAAACATTCAATTAGGAAAGATTACTTGATATGCACCGAGAGATATAAGAAACCATAATAATAGATAATAGTGTATGCAAATTCATTACGTCTTGGAGACCATATTATTATTTAACTACTCACCACAAATGAGCTGAGATAAATCATCTTTTTGGTTCAAAGTTGCTAAAATCAAGAGATGGATAGGGGTTTCGTGAAAATATCAGTAACTTAATCCAGAGAAAAACAACATGATGTGCCACTATGGCTTGTGATTCAATGCATTCCCTGATAAAATGATAATCAATTTCAGTTTGCTTTGGCAAGAGCAATAGCTAAAACATTATCACAATATAGAGACAATGGCTAAGAAATAGATATGTCAAAATCCAATAATAGCCTACAAATCCAAATGACATCAGTGATAGATGTTACAAGAGCTTAATGCTAGACTTCAGTGGAGGAACAAGCCATTGTCAGTTATTTTTTAAATACCTACAATATTCAGTGAAAATGAAATATTTGGTCTTGTTATAATTAAATATTATAGAGATCCTATAATATGCCTAAAAATTTTGGGATTGGAGAAATTAGAATCGGATTACACAAAAGGTGATACCTTTATTGAGAATGGGCTATGAATATATAGCCATGCAATTGCCCATTCCAAATTGAGTTAGCAAGTCAACATTATATTTAGATTGAATTAGATAAGTCTAGCAGGTGTTTGAAGATGTTAAAAACCGAGAAAATAAGATACAACATCAAGCTTGAGCATTTGAAACTAAGGAGTAAGTTTAAAATAAGTTATCAATGGAGGAAGTATGTCACCAACATAAATTACAACATACATGATTGATACATCATGGTGATAAATTAATAGTGATGGATTCACTACACTTAAAGTGGACCTAAGCTCTTGTAGATAAGTAGAAATTGTAGCCAACCACTTGATTCATGCTTGCTTAAGATAGTAAATAGCATGACATACATAATTTGGATGTTGAGGATCTTAAGACCCTTTTGATTGATCCATACAGACCGGTTTTCGACCTGTTTGCAAACTCGGGTTTGGTTCGAGTTGACCCGAAAACCCGGTAATGACCCGGAATGACCCGCTGTCCGCCTGCGCCGCTGCCGCCTACCCGCCGCACCGCGTCCCGCTACGAACCGCCGAACCCACCGCATCCCGCTGCGGAGTGCGAACCCGCGCCGCTTCCCGCAATGGATAATGGGTCATGTCAAGTTGACCCGAACCTGAAGTGGGTCGAGTTCGAGTCCAGGAAATCGACCCGTTTGCAAAAACGGGTCAGGTTCGAGTTGACCTGATTGGTGCCGGGTTAGTTTCGGGTTCGACCCGAACCCGACCGTGACCCGAAATTGACACCCCTATTGCCATGAATGATGTGATGTTGTTATGTGAAAGATATGAGTATTAATTACTTTTTCCATAGGACTAATGATTTCCTTATAATAAATTCCATATTCATGTTTGTATTCTTGAGAAATAAGTATGGTTTTGTATCTAGCAATGGAATCTTCTAAATTGAGCTTTGTTTTATAAATTCATTTGCATCCTAAGATTTTCTAATGATGATGCAAAGAATTCAAAATTCAAATCCAAGTTTCTTATTACTAAAGAGCAAGAAAACCAAGTGACATGAATTATCTCCAAATTGTATCCCTTACAACAAGTGAGTGGTAGGCAGAGTCATATATGAAGGGAGTAGTGTAATTGAAATTGAAAATGAACTTTGGTTTTAGATATCTAATTTTAGTCTTGTGACCATGGAATGTCTTGTATGTTCAGGAAGTGAAGAGATAGAAGATGAGAAATTTGATGAATTGTGAGAGGTGGATAGTTCAGGTGAAGTTGAAGAAGCTAGTGATAAAGAGACATTAAGGTTTTGTTTGTAACGCCTTTTTTACTGCTTCTAAAACCAGCGTTTTAGTACAAAAAAAATTAATTTTGTATTAAAAAAGTAAAAAACTGATTTAAGAAGCTATAAGAAAATCGTCCCAAACGAAGCCTAAATAAAGAGAAGCTAAGTTATTGAATTGATTATATAAAGAAGCCTCATAAATGCATGTATCTATGAAAGTGGTAGAACTTGGTGACACTTTGAATATACATCAAAGAGGCACAAGTTTAAAAAGGGGCACATGAGAGGAAGAAATTACTGATTGTATATTTGTTTTACAATGTATGTACAAAAATATGTTATCATAAAAAGGTGATATAATTAGTGATAAGTAGGGGTATCAATTTCGGGTCACGGTCGGGTTCGGGTCAAAACCGGAGCTCAGGTGCGCGCGGGCGCGCACAGCGCGGGTGCACGCGAGCACTGAGCATGCGGGGCAGCTTTGCGGGTAAGTTGGGCAGTGCAGGCAGACGTTTTTAAACGGGTTCGCGAGTTGACCCGGCAACCCGTCGTGTCAACCCAAACCTGACCCGTTTTTCAAACGGGTCAATTTCTGGAACCCGAACTCGACCCATTTTGAAATCGGGTCGGGTCAAACTAGAAATTTCCGGGTCGGGTTCGAGTCGGATTTTCGTGTCGTGTCAAATATTGACACCCCTAGTAATAAGAATATTTCCAAGATATAGGTTGTAACACATAATCTTTATGAACTAGATAATGCCCAAACAAAAGCACTGAGCAAATAAATTTATGCTATAACGAGGTGAAAGGCATCCAAATGTTTTTAAATGAGATTATAAGGGTTTTGTTATGTGTAATTAATGATTTAGAGAAAGGTGATTAAGATGTGGAGATGAAAAACAACTAATTAGACAAACTTCTATGCATAGAACATCGCCCAACAAAGATGAGATAAATTATTTTACAATAGAACTGTTTGATTAGTTTCAAAAATATGTTCATGCTTCCGTTCAACCACATCATTTTGCTCTAGGATATAAGAGCACGCATATTGGTGAATTATGCCCTATTCCTTTAGAGAAGTTTCAAACAATTTGCTAAAATACGTAGCACCTATTGAAGTAGATAGAGTAACAAAATGTGGATGACCAAAGTCATTGATGCCATACTATGAGGGTAATCATAGTAGATTGGAGAGCACTATTGAAGGAGATGAAGGGTTAATTTGTGGTGGCTACATTTTTTGAGAAGATATTTGTCAAATTGTTGTGGAGAAATTTCCGGGTCGGGTTCGAGTCGGATTTTCGTGTCGTGTCAAATATTGACACCCCTAGTAATAAGAATATTTCCAAGATATAGGTTGTAACACATATAATCTTTATGAACTAGATAATGCCCAAACAAAAGCACCGAGCAAATAAATTTATGCTATAACGAGGCGAAAGGCATCCAAATGTTTTTAAAAATAGCTTCTCATCATGAAAATGCTTGAAAAACAACAATAAAGCAATAGCCAAATAAAAGCATGATTATGATGGGAAAAACAAAGCAACCAGAAAACTGCCCTAAACAAACTCGAGGAGGAGGTAGAAGCGATTGGATAGAGCCTATCACGACACGATCCAGAGAGCAAAGCTCATCAACATGTACGTTGATACTTGATTTGAAAACCATTAGCATTTAACAAAATCAGATGATGAATAGAGAAGAAGATTGTAAGAATAGTTAGAACTCGAAGAAGTTGAGAAAGATAAAGATTACGAAGAGGTATGAGAAGAATGCCTTGGACCGATTGCTGTAATAGGAAGGGTTTGCCCATTACTTTTAGTCACTTGCTGATTGTCATGACAGATCTGCAAATGTATCAATTGTGTTGGATCAACATCAATGAGGCATACATAAAATAATGTCTTCTAGTTCAAACGGTGAAGCTACAACAGCAACGGCATCCACTTATAGGGGCTGTTTGGTAGTAGGATTTAGGCTGGATTTGAGACGGATTTGAGCGAAATCCAACCAAACAACCTAAAATGTAAAACCAAATCTCGCGGCAAATGAAAGCCGTTGTAGATGAAAAATTCCACCTTTTCGTGCTAAATCATGGATTTCCGAAATCCAGTTTTTTGCCAGATTTACAAAATCCATTGGCTCGAGAGGAAGAAGAGTATGCTCGTTAAATCCACTCTATAGTCAAACAGTCACGCGGGATTTAATAGAATTTATCATGAATGTTACCAAACAGTTTCAGGATTTAGGCCCCTCGGGATTTCCGAAATCCGAATTGAGTGGATTTACGAGATCCTACTTAAATCAAATCATGGGCTGCTACCAAAAAGCCCCTTAGATTTAGAAAAATTGAACGGGCACTAACAAAAGAAATGGCAGGAAGAATCAATGCAGTTTGGCTTGATACTTCGATCCCATTTGTTTTCCAGCTATGCATTAGGGAATCAATAAACAGAACAGGAAGAAGGAAGAAGAAAGAAGGCATACAGAAGTGTTTTTCATTATCCATTTTAATACAGTATTAGATAAACCAGAAATATAGATCAAAATATACTCTCTTAAATTCAGTCAAACAAATAATACAAACGCATCAAGGTGGTGAATCACACACAAAAAAAAAACATCATTAATTATCGTACATAACTGAATTAGTAAAAGGCCATCAGAAATGAAGGCCGTCGCCGTTCATCTCCCGGACGTCCGCATCCAGCACCTCAACCGCCGCGACGGCGGCGGGATCCACGCCGGCGCCGAGGTCATCGTCCCCGCTGATTCGATCGAGCACAATAACGAGCCCCATGATAAAGGCGGCGTCCACCCGCGGCCGGAGGCTGAGACAGAATACATCTCTCCCCAAAATCACATGGGCGCATGGATCCACCTTCCTCTTTATCTCCGCCACCAACTCCCCCTCCTCCTCACCCTCGAAAAACACTCTATCATGGGAGCTAAGTTAGAAGCTCGGAAAAGATTTGTTAAAGCACGAGCTAAAATAAACACTACGTACCTGCAGCAACGCGCCGCGAACGAACCCTCCACCCTGTACTCCGCCGCTACATCGTCGGCGCTGCCTCCGCCGTGTACCTCCACCGTCACGCCGGCGCGATCTCCGCCGAAGATAGAGGACCGTCGCACGGTAAACAGGGGTTTCTGCCCTTCTGCTCGCTCCCCCAGAAACCCCTCCCACCGATTGTGAAGGCTTGGCCACTGCAACAAAATCAGATTTTGAACCATAGCTGAGCATCAAACCGGCCCCAATTTTTTGATTTCGATGCCAATTTGTAAAACAGAATATGAAAAGATAGATCAGTGCTTGCCTTGCGTCGGAGTGTAATGATGGAAGCTCCGAAGGGATCCATGAGTACGAGCTCGTCGATGAGGGAACCGGGGCCTCGTTCGTAGGTGTCGAGGCGGAAGACGAGTTCGCCGGTGTGGTGATCGTAGGCTGCGAATCCGTCGCCGGAGAAGAAGAGGGAGGTTTTCCTCACTGTAAGCTCGCGCTCCTCGTCCTCGCAGTACTGCTTCCCTACTATAACCTTCGCCCCTCTGATTCCAGTTCCTTCCATCACCGCCCCGATCAAAAGGCTCAACCTTTCTCCCTTTTTCCGATCGAAGCTGGAGTGATTTGGTTTTGAAGTGGAGTAGGAGGAAGGCGAAAGAGGTGGTTTGTATTTATTTGTAATAAACAAATAGAAGGTGTGGATACTATCGTTGATTCGGAGATGCCGAACAATGATATTTTGGCCGCGGGGTTTGAAAAATAAATCAGAGTTGGCCAGCTAGTTTTGCTAGTAAAAGCTTTGAAAATTATTGTCTGGTCATCGAAATTCTTCTCCTATTAAAATTATATGTATATATATAATGAAATCTTCATACTGTAGATTAATAGTTGTCAGACGTCTAGAAAATGAGATCATAGGTATGATTTTCGTGTGTCTTTTACCAACTGTGAATCTTGTTTGTATTTTCTCTGAACATTATACTTTTGGTGACATAGTTCGGTTTTTTTTTTATTGTGCTGTTCTAAATTGTTAGGAGCTGCTTTTTCTGTTTAAAATTTTTTTTTTAACAATTGAGACATTTTTGGGACACTTGAGAATCCTCTTTGGAAGTAACTTTTGGGTGAGATGCTCTAAACTTTTTTAAGTTTTTTTTTTAATCTTTTATTATGATATAGATTTTGATGAATCATGACTTTATTTCTGGGTATATATAGCATATTATTACAATGGAGGTACACGTGTAGCGTTCTTATAGGATGGACACTTATACAGATATCTTGATTTAATATATTATCCTAAAAGTTCTTTGATGTTCAATTTGATGATTTTTTACGTGCAATGTATACATATTATAGTTCTTCTCTCGTTTTAGGCATTATCTTTTATTAAATTAAAATTATATAATTTTTTGATATATTTAATAAATTAAAAACTTGCACACAACGCATATATAGAATTATTGAATCTGAAATCACTTAGTTAAAAAAAACAAAGCTTCCAACCAATAGTCATAGATAGTTTTTTTTTTCCCTCTATTGCATACTTGTCACTCTATTGTTAGAGAAATTATTACGTGCGGAGTTTAGACAATTATGTGAGTATACACACTGTGTGCAAACAGTGTGTAAAAAAAATTGATTCAAACTGTGTACAAATTTGTACAGTGCGTGCACTTATATATTCGGACGGTTCTTTATGTCATAATTAAGACTTTTGGATTAATGTGTTTAAACATTCTAAGCCACTCTATAGTTTTTTTTTATATATTTTTTTATCCCATCATATATATGTGTTTAAACTGTGTACCGAGTTTTTCCAAAAAACTCGATACACCTCAGTATAGGCGGGATTTTGCCTACGACCGAACGTTCCTCTGCATCCGGTCGGAGGACGTAATAATTGTTCTTTGTATTTAGAATTATAGTTTAATTTGCAGATAACTTTTCTATAGTTGTTATTACAAATTGTTTATAATTAGGTGTGATGTCAGTTAGCTTAAATTTGATTTGATTGAATACATCATAATAAAGTAGGGCCCATTTGTGAAAATTTTAAATTCCTCAGTTTTAATTTACTTAAACATATCAAATTCTATCAGAAAATTTTTAATAAATTTTGAATATATTATACTTCAAATGAGAAATAAACCAATTCATGATAAAAGAGAAGAGAGAGCATGTGTCGTAAGAAATGTATTGAATCTCAAATAAGTTCTATATTGGGATAAGTTAGAATCGATATGATAATAATATATTGAATTTGACTCAAATTTATATCATGACTTGATTAATCTAATACAAGTGAATAGAGGTGTACATGGGGTGTAATCGAGACAAGCCGACTCGGGAGCAGGCTCGGACTCGACGAGTCGAGCTTATAGAGCTCGACGGCTTAGCGAGCTCAAGCTTAAACAACACGTCGCTCGACTCATGAACGGAGTCAAAGTTCCACGGGCATGAATTTCTACGGGCATATGTTTTACGGGTGAAAATTTTTGCTGGCAAGAAATCGTGGACAGAGTTTCGCTGGAGGAAATTTTCATAGACAGAGTTCTACGGGCAGAGGTCACGGGTAGAGTTCGTGGGCAAAGGTCACAGGCAGAGTTCCATGTGTAGAGTTCGCATACAAAGTTTCGAGGCTCGTCTACAGTGGGACGAGCTTGAGCTCGACTTCTGACTGACGAGCTGAGCTCTATAGTGTCGAAACTGGACTCGGGAGTCCATAACAGAAAAATATTGCTGAAAAGGTTTATAGACGTACAGCTTTGCGGTTCTGAAATGATGGATTATTGCTTCGCTGTGCTAAAATAATTGATGATTGCCTTGTCGTCATTTAGCGTAAGAGAAAGTGAGAGATTATTTTTTTCTTTATATATCAAATCAAAGCACAACAAAACGAAAACGATAACGTGGCCATGGTCGTAAAGTAAAAAAATGTTTATATTCATTATTAATGACATATTTATTTCCATTTTTTAATGATTCCGAGAACTAATTACAAAAAAAAAAAAATTCAAATCAGGATTTGTCAAATGGAGAATTAGTAAAAGTCCCAAATGTCGAGCCGGGCCGGGCGGTACAGCCCTCAACTACCAAACGTACCTCAACGTTTCCTCTGGAGGCCGGTGATTGATTTAAGGCATCTCTAATGAGTTATATATATTAAGATCATATTATTTTTTTTAATTATAAAATTATCCTAAAATTATTAAATATTAATTTTCTAATTTTAATATGTTTATTTTTCATGTAATTAACTTATTTAAATTTGATTCGGTTTTGGTGTTATTAATTTTAAATTTTAATATGATTCCCATATTAAATAGTTGTTACTGTATTTTTTGGTTGACCTTAGAGGAAAAGAAAGATTTTAATTGGCCGTGTAATTCTTGAACCGGAGCGGTACCGGTTCATTTTACAGTGTAAATGCGAATTTGTTCTTTGACTGAGGGTGATGGGGCCACGTGGCAAGTTCTGGCGCATGGGTTGCGTTTGCCACTTGTCAACGCGTCCACGTCCAAGCCACGTGATGCCGCAAAAACAATGGAGCTGAATATTTTAATTCTAATAATGGAAGTAACAAATATAGTATACCAAATGTAGCTGTCAAATGCAATGCTAACCCACCGGTGCTTAGTTCCGTTGGTGGGCCTGCTCGATTGGGAACCTCTATCCCTAAGTTTGATTTCTTGGAGCGGCAGTCACCTCTTCAGTGGGGGCCCTAAAGTGCCGGTTATGATCACAGTGGTGTGGGTAGTGCAGTAGGTTGGCCGGAATTTACGGGCCGCCAAATGCGCTCGACGAAGCCAAGCGTGGTAGCGGACGATTCCTCCTCATAAAAAAATGCAATGTCAAGTGTAAGAAGCCATTGTATTAAGTGCTTTAAAAATCAGATTGGACAGGCCGATTTGATCGGTTAAATCATGAACTGGTTCGCCTTCAGCCTTAATTATGACATCCCCGAACTTTTATCTTTTCCTTAAGGTATTACTCGTTTTCAATCTGTATATATTTACCTTTTAGCGTTTTCCGCTTGAGAAATATAAAAAATTGGCATTGAAAATTTATTATCATCAAAAAAATTATCATGATTAGAGACGAATCTCGATGCAAAATCAAGTTGGAAACTTCAAAAAATAAATCTGGGACCATTTGAACTCCGATTTTAGCTTGATTTTTTTTTTTTTTAGCTTGATATGAATTCTGATGTTAGCAAATTTATAGTTAAATTGAATGTCCTAACTAATAAAGATGAACTCAATGATATCAAAGGTGGTCTGATCTAAGTTCAAATAAACTTAAATCAAGCACTTAAAATACTAGTATAAATATATGTTCACACGTTGCACGTAAATAATTTAAAAAAATAATAAAATTTAAAATTAAATTTTGACATGCTATCAATGATATTAAATGATATATCAATATCACATGCAATATTTTTATAAGTATAAATTATTTATACATAATTAATAAGTATATAAACGAAAAAGTTCGATGAAAAGTAAAAAGCTGGTTAATGTGTAAGACAAGGGGTCCTAATAGATTGATTTACTTTACATCTATGTACCATCTATTATAAAACTATATTAGTCATTCAAAACAAAGAAGTAAGCCTGCTATACATCATAATATATAAGAGCATCAACTTATCATGCAAGCAATACTAAATATGTATAATGAGAAAGAGTAACAATTAGCATAAATCAGCAATAAGTCATGTTTGACGCCTATTTTAGGTTTCGTTTGGGACGTTTTTTTTTTGTTTCTTAAAATAACTTTCTAATAGAAAAAAAAAATTAATTTTTATGCTAAAAAACTGCTTTAAGAAGCAGAAAGAAGTCCGTCCCACACGAAGTCTTAGGCTTCGTTTGGGACGGCTTTTTTACTGCTTCGTGAATCAGCTTTTTAGCATAACAATTAAAATTATTGTACTAGAAATCTGCTTCAAGAAGCAGAAAAAAAGCCGTCTCAAACGAAGCCTTAGACTTCATTTGGGATGACTTTCTTACTGCTTCTTAAAGTGACTTTTTAGTACCAAAATTTAATTTTTATACTAAAAAGTTATTTTAAGAAGTAGCAAAAAAGCCATCCCAAATGAAGGCTTCATTTGGGACAGCTTTTTTATTGCTTTCTAAAACAGAGTTTTAGCATAAAATTAAAAAATTTTGTGCTAAAACTCCGTTTTAGAAAACAATAAAAAAACTGCCCCTAACGAAGCCGAAACCTTAATTAGAAGATTGAAGCAATATTTAGCTTAAAACTGTCAAACAAATTTTTTGATATTTCAAATCCTACTATATTAATAAATTATGTTTTAGCCCCATTCTTAGTTAAATCTAGGATTTAGAGAGTTCAAGGATTTCTCCTCAAACGAATTTTAAATCTTGAAACAAATAGGCAAACAAAATTTCAAACTCTCAAGACTTACTAAATTTCGATGTACAGAATTTAGTATATACAACTTATAGTCAAGCAGCCTCATAAATGTTCAAACCTTTTATAAACAGTTGCAAATATCATGAAATAATCAAAATGCTGACCGAACAAGTAACGATATCAGAAGAAATCAAAGCAGGAAAAAATATATTAATAATATGAAAGAGATCCAAGCCAATGAGCTGAGATAATCTCTCACTGATTTTCTTTTTATTAGAACATTTAAGGGCATCTCCAACAAAAACTCCATTTTTCACTTTAAAATGTCTTAAAACCTCAAAATACGGTTGTT